ATATGATAAGAACTTGATTTTATCTGATAAAGACAAAGATCTTGATGTTCTTTTTGAACAATATAAAATTTTAATCCGTTGTAAGTTTAGACAAAAAAGAAAAGTGTGTTATCATGATATAGATATGTTATCATCTACTTTAAGTAATGATAAATACAAAGATCATGTTGGGGTTATGGTTAGTAATCAAGATTATTCAGGTAATGCAGTAAAAGAAGCGAATAATCTTAAAATTATTACTTGTAGAACAGATAATCTTGTTAAAAAAATAGTTGATCATGTTAACTTTTTGAAACAATTTGATGATAAATTTAATGATAAATAATTTTATTATAAATAAATATAAGTTATACAATAAAATAAATAAATATAAGTTATACAATAAAATAAATAAATAGATTTAATAAAAAATTAATTGATATTATATTCAATATCCATCTCTTTAGATTTAACCAAAACACTACCGGGTAAAACCATTTCAGTATTTTTACATTTATATTTTATATTATTAAGAACATATGAATTATTTCGTTTTAAAGAAATTTCTACAGTAAATTCATTATCATTATTATTATTTTTTTTCAATATTTTGTCAATCTTACACTTTCCAAGAATTTCATTGATTTTTTTATGAATATCATTATCATGAGAATATTCGATAATCTGTTTAGGTTTTGTAATAAAAAATTTATTCATGTCGTGTAATTTGAAAACTGGAGTATTTTTGTAATAGATTGCATGATTGTACAAATTGTTGCCGATAAGAAGAAAAGTAATTCCATTTTCAGTCATTGGTGTTGAATTAATTTCAGTTGTTGTATTATCATTTTCATAATGAATTTCATACCCTTCAGGTGGAGAGATTAATTCATTATTTTCAAAAAATACAATTCTATGACAGATTGTATAATATTTTTCAATTACGAATGTAATATTGTTTTTAGTATCATGAAAGATACGTCTATTGACAAAATTTTCAGGTTGAAATTTTTTTAAAGATTCAACATAAGACATTTTGATGAGTAGATCAAGTTTTTTTTTATCGATAAGATGATATTACCAAAATTTATTGCATGCATTTTTATCAAAAATTAGGATTATTGATATTAATAATTAAAATTAATAATAGTTCTTTTTTCTCATAAAAAAATTATTTAAAGAATTTGGGGATTTGGGGTTGTGTAATATGAAAAAAATTTGTTATCCGATAAGGATTTTAGTATGAAAATACTAAATATAGTAATTAAAAATTATTGGTTTTCGTATCTGCATGATAATGCATTTAATTTTGTATGTAACAAAGATAGGCGTATTTCACAAAAAAAAAGATTTGATAAGATCTTAACAAATTTAGGTTTATTAAAGTTTTTTTGCGATATACTATATTTGATTTTTATTGATTGTACAAGATTGAATTTTTTTTTTTTGTTTTGATTGAACGACAAAAGAAAAATGTTTTTGTATTCTTTTATTCATAATAATGTTTCCAAGAAAATGATATTGCATCGAAAGTTTATGTTTTCGTATCGAAAAACTCTAAATGAAAAAATGGCTTGCAGAAAGTTTGAGAAAAAAAAATGTTTCAAGCTTTATTCACGAAAATATTTAAGTATCGATTTTTTTATATCATTTCGAATCATTAATTGAAAATACCAAAAATTTTCAAAATATCAAAGATAAAAATTTATTCGTCTATACAAATCTTCAAATAAAATTTTATAAACAAAACAATGTTTTCAAAAATTTTTTACACAATTCTTGTTATCTGTGTTTTGTTAGTTTTCATACTATCAAACACATTTCCAGAAGAATTTCAAGCATTACAGATTGATATTCAAGCATTTGTCTTGAAAATATACTATTCGAAACAATTCAAATGGATGTTAGCATTATTTGCTTGGATGTTATTGAATTTTATTTATTATTGTTTTTTAATACGACACTGGCCAGAAATATTTATTTATTAATCCTTTATTTAAAATGGTAAACGAACAATTGAGAATATCATGCCATTTCTCGTGTTGCATATTGCAATTTTGATAGAGTAAAATTTTTTTTCGACAATTAGAAATAAAAGCTTTGTAAATATTTGTAAAGTATAAAGAACATTTTTTATTTGTATTTATTTATAAATAGGATTTTTGTATATTATTATTTTTTTTTTTTTGTATTCAGGTTTTGTATATTTTTTATAATAAAGTTTTATACGGTTTTTATTTAAATATATAATAAATATTAAAAAAAAAAAATAATAATGATGTAATATTGATATCATTTATAAAAAAAAAAAAAATAAATATATAATAAAAATAATAAATAAATACAAATAAAAAAAAATTATTCTCGATATTCCCAATATCCTTTTTTATCAATAACTCTTCCATTTTTTGCAAAAGGACTAACAATTATATTTCTATAATCATTATGTTTAACAATTTTATAATTGCCTTTCATTTTCCAATTTATGTTAAGATCTGATATACGTTTTATATTTACAGGTATTTTTTTAATATTTAATCCTCTTCTTATTGCTTCTTTAAAGCAATAAAGTCTTCTATTGTCTGATGAATAAAATATATCATCTATTATACAAATTTGTATAATAGGAAAATTTTCTATTTTAATTTTGTTATTAACAAGATCGTTAATAGTATTTTCTATATCATTACCTATCTGAAAGGTATTATTAATTTGTCGTTGACTATAACATATTTGAAATGGATCAATATATTTAATAATATCTTCTTCTGCAAGTTGTAATTTTATTAATAGAAATTGTATTCTATATAATAATAGGATACCAAAGAACCAACACAACATCAGTGAAAAAAGAGAAGATATTAGAATTAATATCAATAAAATTAACTCTAATTGACATATTTTTATATTAGTTTCTTTAATAATTAATGTATTATCAAATGGATTTTCTTGTTCAATTAATGTGAAAGAGGTTTCAAGAATTTCTTTTTCGTTAGTTGACCAAGAAGATTCATTATTTTTTTCATCCCAGGAGTTTTCATTTTCTTCAAATTTCCAAGAGTTTTCATTTTCTTCAAATTTCCAAGAGTTTTCATTTTCTTCAACATTCCAAGAATTTTTATTTTTTTCAATATAATTCGACCATGAATTATCCTGTTCAATTTTATCTTCAATATTTGTTTTTTTGTTTAATTTATTAATGAGTTTTTTTACAAAAGTCATTTTTTAAAAAACAATTATTTTTGTTTTTGAATTGTCAAAGTTTATTAATAATTTTTAGCATTTTTATAATTTTTTTAGTATTTATTTATATTTGTTAAAATTATGTTTATTGAAATATCAACGAAAAAAATTATAATAAATTTTGTTTTGTACTACATTCACAAGAGTTTTAACGATTTGAAATTATTACAAATAAAAAAGTTTATTCGATATTAAGATAACAAAACTAGATTTTCTAAATATAGATTTATTCAATAGATATGTTTTTAGCCGAAGATAATATAAAAAGAAATATCTTAAAATGTTTCACAAAGATAAAGAGATAGAAGATTCTAAAGTACAGCCATGTATTACATGAATATTGATTCGGTGATATTGATAGATAAAAGTTAAAATATTAATTAAAAATATATTTATAAAAAAAAAAGATTGATAATAAATTACTAATATTTTATTCAATATCGATAGAATAACCAATCTTATTTCCAGTAATCTTATCATGTTCTATCTTATAGTCAATTGCCAATTGTTTTGTTTTAAAATATTTTCTTGATTTGATTCCTTTTATTTCCCATTCGAAACACCAATTTTTTTTAGATTTTAAATAATAAATTCCATTTAATCCACTAGTATTATTTTTATATAATTTACTGTTTAAAGCACTTTTTCTATAATTAGTATCTTTTAAATTACATTCACGATTATCAAGACAATTTCGATTTATATGAGAAATTAATTTAAATTCTGGTTTAATTAATTTATGAAAAGTTATAGTTTTGCGATTATTATCTTTAGTTGTGATGTTATAAGTATATTTAGCTTTTAATGCAGTCCAAGTATAGTTTTTTAAAAGTTCAAAATATTTTGTATCGGTTAAAAATGTGATATTATCTTTTTGTGTTTTAACTTCAAAATATAATTTATCATTAATTTCCACATGTCTATATTCATTTAATTTATGTTTTCGTTTATGAGAAGGATTTAAAGGAATAGTAATTTTTTTCCATTCTGAAATAATTTTGAATGATTGAAATTTGGATTCCCAATAAGAAGACATTTTGATCTTATGA